TCGCGTCGTTAAGGGAGAAAAATAGCAGCGAGTCGCGCGACTCGTTGCAATCGTGACGATTTCGAATGCCTAGGAGGAACTGCGTTTTCCACGAATCATCGCAACGCGTCATCCCAAGTTTACGAAGCTTTTTGAAAATATGAATGCGCGTTTAGGGAGAGCAGATGTGTGGATCACGTGGGCATTGATTTGTGCAAAAGAGATCCTTTGATGTTTGACAAGCTTCGGTATTTCCTCGTGGACGATCGATAAATTGCGCGGTGCTCGAAATGTATGAACGTGTTGGATGAAATTTATCGAGGTTTCAGCGAAGATCTGTGTTGAAGAGAGAAATTTCTAATGGATCGTTTAATTGGATGGAATACCATTGGTTCTCATGGTTGACGGTTTACAACGAGAACCGATGAAATTGAAGAATTGAAAATTACGATCGACGAGGGTTTATCTTTTTTTTTTTTTTTTGAATATTGGTCGTTTAAAGAGGAAGAATGAGAAGAATAATGTTTAGAATAATCGAAAAATGAGCTTCTATTTGAGCTTCTGAAGGATGTTATTCTGACGATGTTTTTTTCTTTCCTTTTGAAAAACGTTTAAAATTTAATAAAGAAGACTCAAGATAATAATATATTAAATGGAATAAATTTTGTTAAAAAATTATTGAAATGTTTACAAAAGCAGCTAATATAATTTTAACAAAAGTAAAAAAAAAAAAAAAATTATATCGTAATCATATTAGTAAGAATTATTTAAAAGTATTCAATTAACATATAAAAGTAAAAAATGAAGTCGAAAATTCCATGGACCCTCTTTAAAGATATATTACAAATTCCTAATGAAATGAGTTTCATATACTAAAGATCTTGATGTGCGGATAATTTAAGATTCGTCTTCATCTCGTTAAAAGACATAAAGCTACTCCTCAACCCCGGATGAAATCATTGAATCCGTTAAGCACAATGGTCGCCGGTTGTAATTACTGAAATTAAATTTTGTTTAAGTGAATAGTTTGAAATGATTGACTGAGTTACGATGTAGTTACTTAATTATTTCCAATCTTTTAACTTTTTTTTGGAATATAAAATTTATTTATTGTTGATGTTTTCTTTTAAATAATTAAATATATTTAAATAAAAAAGAGAAAAAAACAAATAATAATAAATAATAATAGTTTGAAATTATTCTTCAAATTTTCAAGAAAATATCATTACAAATAAATAAACAAATAAACAAATTATTATATTTATATAATATAATATAAAATAAAAATTGAATTATAAATGATTAAAATTGAAGAATTTTTTTTTAAATTTAACTAATTTCTTTACTTACTATATTTAATTTTTAATTTCAAATGCTTTTTTTTATTTTTAAATCGAAAAACAAATATAATTATATAAGAATGATTTGCATAAATTCTTCCTATAATCATTTTCATAAGTTCAATAAATAATTTAAGTTAAGGTAATTTTGAAATATAAAATCTAATGATTTGTAATAGACAAACACTATTCCAAACTCCTACTGTTGTTTATTTGTCTAATCTGTTTTTAACGTGTCTTACGCAAATCGAATCATCGGAAATTAATTTTAAAATGGTCAGACATCGAATTGGATGACTAACCGGTGAACTTTTATCGGCATCGCGGTGAGTAGCAGATAAATATAGTGACGAGACTTTTGTTTGCTTTTTAACGATAGAACTAAGCCGAAACTCGTCAGCAGCGATCATTGTCCATTCGATAAGAATCAGAATTCCCCACAAATATCGATTTTTTTTTATTAGGTACACATACCATCTGTTTAATATTCTTTGTTTTAATCCAGTAAAGACATTCAATTTTTGTGCCAAAATGATATTTCTGTTTAAACATTATATTATTTTCTTCTTCAATATTAAAAAATTAAATATTCGTAAGATAATATTGTATTAAAGCGAATATTTAAATTAAATGTATAATTATTCCTGAAAGTTTTAATTTCTTCTTTAAAACGAGCATGATGATTCAATTTCGACGTTTAATTTCAGGCAAGTTTGCCATGCAATTCCAGATATTTTTCGTTAATTTGAGAATATATCTCTTTACGTCAAAAGCTTTCGACGTTTCGTTGTTCGAAGTGTATCATATTTTTCACCAAGCATAAAAATCTTGGCAACTGGACAAAGTATGATTTTCCCTTAATTTGCCGTCGATCAAGTTTAAAAATCGCTGTGTCACGGAATAATATTCGAATCCGATCGATTTTTAACCAGCTTAACAAGCTTTTAATAACCGCGAATTCGTGGAATTTATTCTTTCAATTGAAAGCATGCATTCTTCTTTCGATTGCTCTGACTAAATATTTCCATTGTATTTTCCATATCGTTTATAATGTGATCAATTTTAATTTTTAAAAATATTCTTTTTTGAACTTTTAATTTTCTTGCCATTTTCTTTCTTGCTTGACTTTTGTGGTATTTGTTATTAATTTGTACTTAAAATTTGAAAACTTATTATTACAACATTTTTAAAATTAGAAATCTTTTAGAAAAATACGAGTAACAAGTACTGATGTGATAAATATATTTTTATATCTAATTGCAATTATTTTCTTTAACCTTCATATAAAAACAGTATCATAAATTGTGATTTATAAACTTACAGTGATTATGAAATCAATTATGCTAATTTAATGCTCTCAGACCTAATACTTGTCCTCCTTTAAGTATTAATTACAGATAGAATTTTAATAAATAGTATAAGAAAAATATAAGAAGAAAATTTTATAAATAAATGTAATTTCATGCTAAAAATAAAAAAGAGAGGATTTATTAAAATCGATCAATTCTAAAAGAGACTAATTTTATATTTATTTTTGTTTAAAAAAGAAAAAAAATATTTTACTCACGTTATCATTTTGGAGCAGGCTGTAGGAATTATTCGAAGGTCCTGGACTGGGTGACGTGAGCTCCGAAAGTTTGCTAGGAGATAATTTCTCGCTGGTTCCACCTTCTGCACTGTCGCTGCTTCCGCTGCCACTATAATTGTAGTATCGTTAATTGATATCTATTTTCAGCCTTCGACTATATGCTTATACGAGAAATTCAATTTACTCGTAATAACAAGCATATTTCCTTGAATTATAATACAACATAAATTGTATTAACTTAAAATTTGTATAATTATTTTCCATTTTTAAAATGTAATAATTAGTAAAATATAATTCTCAACTGTAATTTTGAAGTTACATAATCGTCTATATTATAGAATACATCTGTATTCTATTATAGTATCATTGCATTTCCATGAAATCTATTTATATGTTAATTCCTATTTTCTATCGAACAAAAAATTACGCACAAAACGCAATAACAGAAGAATGTGAACTACTTTTAATATCAGTAATAGTATCATATATTTAAATTGGAATAAAAAAATTAAAATTATCTGATTATTTTTTAATAATAGAAAAAGTAGTTCTAAATTTCCAAACCAAAATTATTGTATTATATTTGTTAAAAATACCTAAATTACTCTACCAATAAAACTATTGATAAAATCACAATGAAATTCACAAAAATCACCGAAAATAAATTCCTTTTCAAAAAAATATAATTTTCTTCCAATATCAATTCATAAACATCACAAAAAAAAACTTCATCCTTGTACTTCAAACTAACGTACACCCACTACCGCCAAAATGCCTCTACAGCACGGCAACAGGAACAAACAACCAATTCAAAATCACATATTATCAATATTAAAAATCGATCGAGCATCCAAAATTCTCCTCAACCAATTTCAAACTTCCACTAACTCTTCCTACTTTAAAAAATCAACGGAACGAAAAACTTGAGTTGGCAACTCGAATTTTACATAGCGAGCAGCCATAAACACCGTGGCCGTAAAAAAAGAAAAGAAAAGAAACAAAGAAACAAAAAAAAAATGTCGATCACATACGTCGAATATCATCCGTTTTTCATCTTACGCAATCAACTTCGTCCTCTCTTCCTCCTCTCTTTTCTTCCTTCCGTTGAACGAATTTCAATCCCGTCGAACTTGAGGCCGGCGCGAGATCGCGAAAAAAAGTCGGGAGAAGGCAAAGAGGAAGGCTCTTCTAGCTGGCGAGGATCGGCACTACCGGCGAGGCCATAGCCGCGGCAGGTATTATTAAAACCTAACAAGTACAAAGTGACTTGGTCGACCGGTTCGACGGTGCCACCGGCATAGCGCATTTAATTCTTCTACAATGTTCAACGTATATACAGGCGACACTCTTTCCCGATCCCGTTGCTATGGAAACGTTGTCCTTGACCCTACAGGAACAGGGTCATCTTTTTCTCTCCGTTTGCTCGTTTTGCTCCACCGTGCTCCTCTCCCGGTGTCCGTGGACGTGGTCATTGTCGAGAGGTGGAATGGTCATGGGAGAGAGAGAGAGGAAGGAGGGAGAGGAGGTGCTCGCCTCGCCACGGACAGGGAAATGCGGATCACGTATATACTGGGTGATCCTGTTAGATGCAATCGTCTGTTCTGTTACCTTGTTAACGAGAGAATTCGTGCGGGATTACTGGTTTGCTGGTTTTTTGCGGCAACTCGCGAGAGTGATAGCTGTAATTTATACGGGAGGAATTTTCAGAGATGCTTTGGAAAGTAGCGTTTCTCAACCTTTTTTCTTTTGCCACGTGATATGTTCATTAGTGATGAAATCCAAGCTAAAATCATTGTCGTTATACAGATGAATAAAATTGTGGATATTTGAGTTTGGTTTAGAATAGTGAAGTTTTTTCAAGTGATTATTATTATATGTAGCAGTATGTTGAAGATTGAACGTGATTTAATATTCGTGGTTGAGAAACACTGGTTTGAAATATGATTGGTGAGAAATATAGGGAGTAAGTTTTTTTCTTTTGTACGATTTTTCTTACTGCGTTGCTCGAATTTGATGAAAATTTATTACGAGGTTATAAAATGAGTTATCGATTATAAAATGAGATATTTATAGAAAGAGAAATTCGATGTAATATTATGTGGATTTATGATTGATGTGTTAAAATATTTCTTGGAATAATACATGGAAGATGTGTATTTATAAGAAATAGTAATTAATGAAAAATTATTCAAGGATAATATAATTATTGCTAATCTTGAGAGAAAAAAACAAATATACTCGGAATAAGCAGAAAAAAATTACTTGATTATATATTTGTCATTGCAACATTTTTATTCTAAGAACTACTTATTTTCCTAATCAAAATTTTTCCTCTTGTAATTAATCTACATTGAATTTCAATCAATTTAATTATAAACAATATTAATATTTTCCATTTTCTCTTTTTCGTAAGAAACAATTTAAAACGTTAATAAACTCTTTTTATTTTAATTAATGATAAGAAATAGAATTACCTATCAGATATACAAAGTGCGTTATAAATATAATCCATCGGTCTGATTATCTTGTCAGAATTCGAGAAGATTATTTTAAATAAAGATCTTTTGACAAAATGAAATGTAAAATAAAAAATGAAATTTAAACGCAACATCGAGGCCAGATTTATTCTGGCTATTAACCTTCTTTTTTTCTGGTACATCAGCACGTGCTGCAATCAAGAGTGAAATCGGTTTTGTAATTTAGTTGGAATTGATGGCAACACTTTGCAAGAAATTATATAAAGAAATTTATCATATAACGTATTAAATCATACCTTCAAATAAACAAATATTCTTTAAATGAATTTTAAAATAACTAGGAAATCTAAAAACTTACTAATTTCTGATTATTAAAAATTCTTTTATATTAGAATAAATTTAAAGAATTATTAATACATGTATACAAGAAATATTACTAAAATAAATTTTTTTAAAATTTTTTTTATAATATTTAAATCTTTTGCTGATTCATCGATATCTCATAAGAATTTTTTCTCATTAGTTGCACGAGTATATAATTATTTAAAAAAACAGCCGTGTCGATTTTATATTTCTTACAAACATCACCTTAATTCTAATTTTAAACATTTTTTTCTCAAAATCATGTTTCTAAATGCAACTTCATATTTACGTATCAATGATTAAAAAAATGATTACGTAAAATCTCAAAAAGATACCTTTCTATAAAATCATATTCTATATCTAAAATTTTATACAGATATTATAATTTAACACAATTTTTTTGATCGATCTAAAATATTCTAGCTAAAAATTCGATATGAAAAAAAAAAGAATAAAATTTATATAAACTCACAAGTATCGCTGACGAAGTTCACGCGAGCGCATTTCCAAGGGTCGACAACAATGCTCGCAAAGCCAATCCTTAGAGGTAACGTAAAACCGATTGCTAGTGAGGAAAGTGATCAAGCTGCACCCTCTGAACCTAGCCTCGTTAAAAACGGACGTACCCACCTCCCTCGCGTTCATTCTCGTGCATTATCGTCCCCTTAATTCGCACCCTCTTGCGCCCAACGCACGCAACCCCTTCACGTTCACCTCGAGAAATTCTTCGAACACGACCTCTGGCAAATTTTCAACTGCACACCTTTAATTTCTCATTTTTTACCATTTTCTTCTTTAACAATAAATATTTCTGTTTCTTTCCTCCTCTCTTTTAATGATCTTTTACGTCTTGCCTATCTTTTCGCGAGACACGCACGTATCAATTCAGGAGATTAATGGCGTTATTACACGTTTGTACGTCGTATATTTGAATCATCTTGAAGAATCTTGAAATTCCAGAAAAATTATATACAATTTTGTCTTTTGCTCGAAGGAAAATATTTTGATTTTTATACAAATATTATGAGATTTTTACATACACTTTCACTTTTGTTGTTTTATTTTTACAAATAAATATTAATTTATATTATTAGTTTGATTAATCGATACTATTTTTATATTATGTATCTTCAATAATTCACGTAGAGAAATAAATCATTTTTTTTTTAATTGAATTGTTTTTCTTTGATTTTACTTAAGTTTATACAAAAAATTTTAATTTTCAATTATTGTCAATTTAATTCTCAATTATTAAAACGAAATATAATTATATAATATAATGTAATTAACATGTAATGTAATTTATTTATATCATTTCAATTTTTTTCATGATTTCTTCCACTTATCATCGACGATTTTTTTAGATTATCGATCAAACATTCTATACGATTCCTTCTACGATAAATCTCGATACTGCGCAAGATTTTTACGATTATACTACCAATCAAATAAATCTTTACACTGCTTTGTTCATCATGTTTGCATTGCCGCAATGTTCTTTGCTTTGTTGTGATCTCGCAATACTACGATGCGTCGATTTTCTTCAATAAATATTATTCGAATTGCATTTACCATTTCCATTATACTCGACGCGACGAAACTCTATCCCTTGCCATCGTTTCTTGCCTTATTTTCAAACTATAAGAGCCAGGAAACGCTCGAAATACGAGGCATCTCGAATGCCAGTTTTTTCCCCTCGATATAACATTCGTGAAACTTTGATCGATAAGATTTCTTCAACTTTCGTTCAAGCATTTATCTTATCGCTTAAATAAAATTTCAAATTTTTCTTTCACGACAATGATTAAAATTCTCTCTAAGATTTTCTCATTATCGAACACAACCATTTATGTAATCCACGTATTTCTCCCAAGAATCTTCTTTATTACACATGTTCTATCTTTCCTTAAGATCTTTTCTTATTCGTAACTTTTATTTGCGAAGAAAATATATTTTATTCACTGCACTAATTATCTCTACATTTCAACTTTCCTTCATTCATGCCTCCATTCTCCAAATATCTTTTCCCCCCTCATCCAAAAACCTATCTCAATATTCTCTTCTTCCTCACTATACGCACTTTCATCAACAGTTCATCATAACGTTCACACACAACTATTTCCAAAAAGATCTATACTTCGATCTTCGAACCAATTTTCATCCTTCCATCACCAAACATCTTCCAACAACTTTCAACTCGTCTATCTTATCAAAGCTATCCCAATATGCCAATATTTCCTTCTTCCTCCTCCTCGCTATACACAGTTTCATCAATTACAACGAACGACGACGACGACAACGACGAAAACGACGTGTCAACAGCGTTAGCTAACCGCGGAAAGGCAGCTCGCTGTCGCAGATACCGTATCGCCTGATAACACCCCACCCGAGCGTGTCCAAGTTACGCTTGGGACAAGCGAGAGGGCCCGATAAAGCGTTTTATTGCGGTCGACGCAATCAGCCGGGTAATCTGGTGATCGTCGACGCCGATTCGGACGCATGCTGGCGGCGATACACACCCGCGACGCCTCTCTTCTGCCTCCTCGGCGGCGTCAAGGCTGCTGCGACACCTTTTACTCTCGATGGGTTTCCAGTTTCGCGGAACTGGAGGGATTAAAAGAGGCGTAGTGCGTATTCCTTGCTTGCACAACCCGTTCCATTTAGAGAAACGGTGGAAAGAAAAAAAAAAGGAAAGAGATTTCTGCTCGTTACGCGAAGATCTATTGGAGACCATGGAGAGTCATGGTATTTTGGCCATTGGTTAGAAATTGGATCGATTTCTATTCGTTGTCACGAAGTTAACGATAAGTTGGTTTCGTAGGAATTTTGTTTATATGAATAGAAGTTTAGTAGTTGATCATATCATATATATATATAGTTAAATTTCTATTATCTGAAATAGAATGTTTTTATGGTAAGATATAATTATTATGTAAAATTATTATATAAAACTAAAGAGTTTTTTAACTTCAATGATAAAATTTTAGATTTTTAAAGGAATTAGTTTTTCTTTGACTTTGATTAAGTATTTGATTATATATTTTAAGGAAATTCTCTCATATAAATTCTTATTGAATGAAAAAATCTTTTCTATCATTAACACATATATAACCATTATTGTAATGAAATGATGGCATGTATAATCATTCACAGGCAATTTCGTCATTCACAAATATAAAATGACTATATTTACTATACACTTATTGAGAAACATTATCATGTCACTTTTACATTTCTAATTCTTATTAAATATTATATAATCATGCTATTTAAAAAAGCTTAAAAAAAGCCAGTTAATGCTTACATTTTCATTTCATGTTCATTATCATTTAAATAAATGATATACAAATATATGATATTTGTATATATATTTTTTAATTATTTATATTTGAAATAAAGAAAAGACAATAAAACTTGAAAATATCGTTTTAAATTTGATAAAGATACTCATTTCTTTGTTCCGTTTCTCAAGATGGACATTTTTATCGAGAAAAATACATAAAACGTGAAATGGAAATGTTGAAATTCTGACGTGCGATACTGTCGAATGCAAACCGTGCAATTTTCGTCTGTTTTCACTTCCTTAGAAAAGCAAACAGAAGAATGCACGATTTACATCTTAAAAGCGACATGATTGAACATGTGACTCACCTTTCTGTTGGCCCTGTTGAATAACTGGAGGATTCTTCGCCTGATTCAACACTGTTGAAAGAAGTACAATTCATCTTTCTTTCTTCCCATTGCGACCGAACTTCGTCTTGCACTCTTCGTTTCAATTCTTCTACTCTTCGTCTTTCTTCCGAAATTACTTGGCTGCCTAATAGAGAAAACATGCCAATTTGATTTATAATAAAAAATAAAATAGTACCTGTTAACTAAATCAATTTCTTTAATTAATACATACATTAAGAACAAGTGTATTACTAAAGAAAATTTTTCATTTCAATAATATTTATTTTATTATCTTGGATGAAATTAGTTGAATTAATTTTAGCCAAGTATATATATTTTTTTCGTATACAAAATGAATAATAGATAGTAAAAATCTAATTAAATATTTTTATAAGAATAGCTTGTAATTGAACGCTAAAATTTTTTTTGCAAAGAGAAAGATAAAATATTTATAGATAATTAATATCTGAAAACAATTATTATCTAGTTTAATTAATTTTTACATACCCATAGAATTCTTTACAAATAATCACTGTAATTGAATTTTATTATATAATAGTTTATGAAAAATGTCAAACACTTTTACTCTGTTACCTAACATTTATTATATTTACATTAAAGTATGCAATATTTACCTTGTTTTGCTAAGTGAAGCTGTCGATTTCTCTCAATTTCCTTGAGGGATTCGATAGTCTTCCTTCCCAAGCTGCCCTGATTATTTACAATGGGAGAGTCAGTGGTGACCCTGGAGATCCTGTCGAAATCTTCCCTGCTCGGAGATCGTTTCTCATCGCTATTCTCACAAGAATTTTGCGCCAACTTTGTCAGTTCATCGTTAATCGCTCTAACTCGGTTTCGACCCTATCACAATAATAGATAACAGATCAAACAAAAATCAAAGATTATATATTAAATATTAAATTAATTTATATTTGTTTTCTTGAAGTAGATGGTTTAAAATTGAAATTAGTACGTTTACTAACTTCTTCCAACCGTTTCAAATGCGTTAGCTTCTGTCTTTCGAGACTTCTAGCTTCTTTAGTTGCCGTGCTTTTCGCTTCAGATCTCTGCGCTTCCAAGTGGTTCAATCGAGCCTTCCTGGTCTCTATCTTGGCCGTTAATTCGCTCAAGTATCTGGAACAGATATTTGCACCACTAATTCTATGTTAAACTCAAATGTCAATTGCCATCTTGAAGATATATACAATAAAGAAAATTTGTAAATAATTTTATAGAAGAAATATTCTGTTTTCTATTGTAAACTCTTTTTAATCAAGTGAAAAAAGAATTAAAAATAAATTTGAAATAGTAACGAAATAGAACAAGAAATATCACAGATAAAAATAAGATTAGAATATCTAAATATATATATTTCTTAATCAAATGTATTATTTTTTCATAAACATAATATCATTACAAAATATATCAACAATAAATTTTCTTTATAAATTCCTTTCAAAATTTCGTGAATTCAATTCAAAAAACAAAATCAATCTAATCAATTTAATTTAACAAAATTTAAAAATCAATATTATTAATCATATTTTCATACCACGATAATTAAACTAAGTTTTTATAATGAAAAATAATGAAAAATAATGAAAGAACGATTTATTATCAAGAGAATAGGAATAATGGACAACCAACAAAGATTTAAAAGGATTTATCCATATAATCGTACATGAAATAGATTTACCTCTGTAATTCTTCCCTAGTAGCCAGTTTGCTCGCTTCTTCTTCCAAATGATGGAACTCCAAATCCTCAAATGCCTTCCTCTCTGATTCGAGGACATCTTGTTGAGCCATAAGCTTCTCACTGATATCCTGTTGCACGGTTTCGTCCGTGCAATTCGCCAACTCCTCCTCCAAGCGGCTGCAACCCTGCTGAGCCCTTTGCACTCTCTGCTTCGCCTCTGCTTGCAAATTCGCCTGGCTGGTGTTATCCTCGGCCATCTGTCTCTCGAGCTCGTTTATCCGCATCTGTACTTTTATCTTTTCGCCTTCGTCCTGACTCAGTTTCAACGATTCTGACTCGTACTCTGCAGAGAGCAGTGCCTTTTCTAATTCGAGCTGTCACACACAAATTCACGATCGGTTAAAAAAAAATTATTAAGCGTATCGTAAAAGTTCCTTTAACAATCTGTTTTAAATTTCGTTTTAAAAATTTGAATCTGGAAAAAAGAAAAACCTTTTTCATATTATTTTTATCGTTTTTCTTTTTTTTTTTTTTTAGGATT